CAGAGCAAACCAAACTATACTAGACTTAACCAAACCATGCCAGACTCAAACAAACTATACCAGACTCAACCAAACCCTACCAGACTCAACTAGACATTGACCAAACCAAACCAATACCAGACTCAAGTAGACCGTACTAGACCAGTCCAAACACTACCAGATCAAATCAGACCGATCCAAACACTACTAGATCAAATCAGACCATACCAGACACAACCAAACCACACCAGACTCACCAGACCATACTTGAAGATTATTAAGCAGTTTTTAAGCTGTAAAACTGACGACATCTTCACCATTATAATCAAACTTTCTGGTTAAAATGAACCGATGAGTATTCTATAAATACATAGTAGCTACGTCAACAGTTTCTTTAAGAAAACATTTTGAAATGAAAGATATTAACAACTGGATTGAAAACAATGTTGTTTAAACAGGAAAAGGTGAATTGAACTAGGGTGTAATTTGTTAACTTCTTTCCAGAAGACCTGAGTAGAATTGTTAAGTAGAAAATATATCCTGGCAACCCAGTTCGCAGATAAATACAACGGTTGGGATTTTTTAAATTGCCAAAAGTTTTCTTAACAAGAAAAAATACCGGCATTTTAAAATACGCATAATACTTTAACTTTTAAACGCTAAAAGAGTGCTATATCTAATACTAGCTTGGGAACCCAGTGCTGCCCAGGTTATTGAAAGTTAGTAAAGATACTTTTATTTTCTTAAAGCTTTTCGAAATTTCGCTCAAAGAACGGTGTTATTGCCGCAAACTCTGCTTTTTTATATCGCTATATCTTTGCTACTCCTGTCGTGAACCATAGATATTTCAAACTATGTATTCTGTTGTATCAACTAGTCTTAGGTTGATTATTAAAGGTTGACACCCGCAGGTTGCAAAGATAATTCGAAAATTATAGTTTTTTGGCAAGGCAAGCAGCTTTCCGCAAAAATTGCTTTTAATGGGCATCCAATTTAGTATTTTGAAATAGGTGAAAAAATTCACAATAAGAATGCGTCGAAAAATAATCGATGATTATTGTTTGCAATATCTGAATGATTTGTTTAGAATTAAATTAATTATTTTACGATCCGAGTTGAATGTTGCAGCTATTTGAATTTGTATGGTGACTACGTTCTTCAGCAGCAGTTGTCATTAACAAATATCTCCTTATAGACGCAACAGATAGAAGTAAGATTAGTAGCGATCAAAAGCGCTTATTTTTCGCCGTAAGCCTATACCCCCCTTTCATTTTTCGCGAACACTCCCTTTAACAAATTTTGATGATGAAGGGAGTCTTCAATGTTTCTGAAGAAAAAATGTACACATCTATTTTTAGAAAAGCCAAAATTAACGTTATTAATTTTCGGGAAAAAACTAGTAAATCTTTGAAGGGTACCATTGTGACCTAAAATATCGCTCTATGAACAGAGATTTACTCAAGATACCGCTCAGACTCTACACAGTCCCTTTAATCCTAATCCTCTGTATTGTGTAGACTGTAGAGACAGCTAAAAAGAATTTACTGACAACGATAAATCTGTTTATAGAGAAGTTATAGAGAATCATGTTCTGCTCTACTACAGAAACCAATATCAAACATCTACTGATGGCCATTGTTTAAAGGTGAAACTTGTGATTAAAAATGTTGAAGAGATTGTCGTTTTTCTGACTCGAAATGTGTTTTTTTCTTTAAGTTTCTACATTGCTTCTTATACACAAAATTTGCAAAAAATGTAAAAGTAACTTTTGCAAAGAAACCGCAAATAAAAAACAATAGTTTAAAGAAACATTGATATCTAATTCTATACTTTCTCGGATACACATTTCAAGGCTACTATTGGAAATCGGGCATTGCATTCTTTGCAGGGTGGGTCACTTGAAATCACGCGTACAGTCCCTTTAAATATTACAGTTCATTTCCCTTTTAATATACAAAGTAAAGATATTAATTGCTTAACATATAACTTCAAAGTTGGCTTTTATCGTATTAAGCAAAATTTTTACTCTAGCCAAACATATGAACCAATAAAAGATTTCTCAGGTCAGAGAAAAAAAAGCTTAATGATCTAAAAGTAAACCTATGACAGAAAATCAGTTTTTCACTTTTTCTTGAACATCTCAGATTCTGTAAGATCACCTTTAATAAAAAAAAAACATAAATGTATAAAAATGATTCCCATCTATACAATATACAGCTTCCCACAATCCAGGAAAATATAAACAAATATCTATTGTTTATACGGATTTTTTGTTGATCCCTTGGCATACCTTTCTTTTTTAGTGAATTTAAAATTATTAGCAATTTTTCTCTTTTCTAAAATTTGTAAATTGGAAAGAATTTTTTATAATATCTAAGAGTAATCCTTTCCTGGGATCAAGCCAGTTCTATAGTAGGCTTTTGATGTTTATATTTGATAAATACAAATAAAACATAAGAAATAAACAAATATATTGTATGATGAAAAAAATTCATTTGTGGGTATCATAATGTGACCCGACCTAATGACATAAATTAAAGACTTAAACTTAAATCATGAAATAATGAGATGCACAGCAAAAAGTATATTTGTTCCTCGCTCCAATTTGTTATGCAAAAACCTTCCTTTTAATATTCGGTTCAGAAGTTACACAGTGTTTTAGTCAAAGTTTCGAAATTATCTTTAAGAGTTTTAAGATCCAAGATTTCACCCTATCCCTGCTGGGGTACTTGAAGACCAGGATTTGACCCTCCCCCCCCTCTAAAACCCATGTTTGATGTCCAATATATGACAAATGATACATCATTGGACAGCTCTTATGCTCAACTTTTAGAAACTGCAAAAAGATTGCAAATTGGCAAAAATTTAAATTTGTTTGGCAAAATCTAGTTACAATTTAAAAAGTTAAAAAACAATTTTAAAAATGTTCAAAAAATGATGAAATATACATTTTTAAAAAGTCCTTGGCCTAACCATTTCAAGCAAAAAATTTAGCAAAATTTTAAATAACCTGATGGAGTGATGATTAATTAAGAAAACTAAAAAATGGCAAATTTAGTTTGACTGGTTGTTTGCAATTTGTTTGCAAATTTTTTTTGCAAAACTTGTGCAATCCGTTTCCTTATATCAGAGGCTTTCGAAAACGCTAAAAATTATCAAAATCTTACAACTGAAAAAGGATCAAAACAAATATTTAGTTTGTTACAGGAAAAAGTAGTTATTCAGGCAGTATGCCTGAAGACTCAGGTAGTTAGTATAAAAGCCCGGTTTTATATCTAAAGGGACGGCTATGGGTATTTAGGAAAAGTCAGAAAATCTCAACAACCTCCGACCAATTACTTTTGAGTTACGTAAAAAAATGCTTTTGCTTCATTTAATGATTGTTCATTAGAACTAAAGAGGGTCAGTCAAGTGAAACATTTTAAAGGGAGTGACCGGCTATGTAAGGTAGTTGAACTGAGTATGCAGTGTTGTTGACATATAACACTTTTTAAAGATCTGTAAATTCTGAGTTTGAGCGCAAAGTCGACGTTCAAAATCGTACTTTTGGGTGGATTCGTTTCAGAATTGTTTTTTTTTTTAATTATTAGATAGCGACGACCAAAAATGTATACAAGTCGGACTGTCCCTTTAGGTTAAATAATATTTTAGAAGTTATATCATCAAGTTGCACAGATAAAGGGATTATAAGATTTGAGTTTAAAATAATATATATTTTTATGCGTTTTTGGTATTAGAGTAGATCTGCTGCCAATTGAAAGAGTTTTATTTGAATTAATGATGTGGAAAAAGAGAAACGGTCTGCCAGATATTCACAAATGTAAATCGTAAAACATTCATAGAAATATTTTGTTTTCATGACAGTGCAATTTTTCCTTTAATGTATATAAGGCTATATGTTAGCTATAGCTGGCCAAAGGGCTGCACTGGACCGAATGGGCTGACTATTTTTCAGGGAAACCTTGAGTACCCCGGGGGTAACAAAGGCTAAAAATATTTCATTTTTTCTTTAAATAAAATTTTTTCAAAATTCCACGCGCAACGCCGGGTACTTCAGATTTTATTATATATTCTGAATGACGAGTGAGATGGGTTGAACCTTCCATTGAACCATTGGTTTAGATATCCTTTAGTAAATTGAACCATTGGTTTAGATATCCTTTACTAAATTGAACCATTGGTTTAGATATCCTTTAGTAAATTGAACCATTGGTTTAGATATCCTTTAGTAAATTGAACCATTGGTTTAGATATCCTTTAGTAAATAGAACCATTGGTTTGATATCCTTTAGTAAACTGAACCATTGGTTTAGATATCCTTTAGAAAATTGAACCATTGGNAATTTACAAGTTACTTCCGCTGCAGAGGAACCGCAAATTAAGCTAATCAGTTTAAAGAAACAAAAACTTAATTCTTACATGATCAGACAAACCTAGCTTTCAAAGTTATCGTTGTAAATCGGGCATCTTTTCATGGAGGGTAGCTTGAAATTAGGTTTACAGTCCCTTTAAAGACGATAAAATTGGCAAATATTAACCAATATCTAACACAACAAACATAAACATGCACAGCACACGACACTTAGAATTATAGAAGTTGCAACATGAAGCATGCCCTCACCCCATGGGGATTAGTGTGGGACCTCTCATGGCTCGTGAGAAGATGTAAGGACTCAGTGTTCACTAGAAGTAGGTCTGTATCCACAGGTTTATACTAATTTATACAAAAAAATGGCAACAACGTGACTTAACTTTATAACATCAAACTGGATTGGCTAGGACAATAACGAGTTAAGAAAGGGGATTCAATTAACGAGTTAAGAAAAGGGATTCAATGAACGAGTTAAGAAAGGGGATTCAATTAACGAGTTAAGAAAAGGGATTCAATTAACGAAGGTTAAAAAAGTTAAGAAAAAGAAAAGCCGTCATTTAAACAAAATGAACGGTTTATTTGATAAAAATCAAATTTTAATAGACATTATCAAAAATAATATAAATAAATAATTCCTTCATTAACTTCTTTAAGCAGAATATTATGTTCATAAACTGTCCCTAGGGATTATTTCCTGAGCTTAATTTTCATGTAACCTGTTAAAATTAATATTATTGAAAACCTTAAAGCGCCATTAGGACATAAACCTTTGCATTATCCTATTTTTTGTAGCTTTTTTAATATGGGTGCATTTGATATTCTTTTTTAAGTTCAATATTCCCTTTTTCCACAAGATTAATAGAAACTATAACTTATAGAGACTCTTACGGATATGTAAGGGTACACAAATATTTAGAATTAGATTTTCCATGCCTGGAGTCACCATTTTTCTTTTGCTTGTTTCTTCTTCAAAAATAGGTTCCTGTTTCTTTTCAAACCATTGCCGTGTCGCTGCATTAGTTTCCGGTATCAGTTCCGGTTTAGGAATATTAACTTCCGGTTCAGTAGAATCAACTTTAGTTTCTGGTGTAGCCTCCGAATTAGCTTGGGGGTTAGTTTCTAGTTGAGCCACTGATTTAAGCTCTTGTTTAATCTGAAGTTTAGTCGAGAATAGAAGTTTGAGTTTTGAAGCTAAGGCACTGATCTGGTCTGTACTTTCTGCAACCTTAGTATGGATGTTTATATACCTTTAATGTTCTATAAAGTTAAAAGTTATTCCTTGTAGTTAGTCATATACTTTTCCAGTTGACGGCTATAGACCAAAAATACGAGATGCCTCCATTGTTACAGTAATGGACAAGCTTCTTCGGTTTAGGTAGTTAAACGTCAATACGGAGATAGTGACAGGAACTAAGTGACAGGGATGCATAGTGCGTACAGATATTTTCCATGGAGGAAGTGAGCAATCTGAGCATACCCTTTCTCGAAACTCCAGGTGGGAGAGCTTTGCCCTAATATTGGGTTAAATCTCTTCTCCAGGGGCTTGGCCCCCATAGCCCCCCCCCCCTGCATATGCGTTATCACAAACAAAAGTTATCCCCTCCGACTTGGTATTGAATTTGATAAAGCGTTTAAGGTTTAATCCAATATTTTATAAGAATCTCTTGATGGTCAAAGGAATTGAATATCAGTAACAAACAGGGCAGATTTTGTCCTCACATCATTATAATCGGGATTCAGGGGGTCATATACAGAGAACCATAAAAGAAAATTCGCCATTTTTAATTCTGGTATTATTTTCAAGGAAAAGTTGTTTTTCAGTGGCTCTTCAGGTTTCAACTGTACAGCGTATATTAAAACTTTTGAATATAGTAACGAGAAAGAAACTAGAGGATTTAAAGAACTTTTCCTGAAAAATTAGACCAGAACTGAAAATTGCGAATTTTCTTTTTACAATTTTGCAAATTTTCTGTGATCCTGCAATTCAATCTTTATAAAGTTTTAGAATTTGAAAGAAATAATTCATGTACACATTTTTGCTTTTCTGAACTTTTGATTTTGAGAGAAAAAAGGTTCGCGGATTTAGTTTTTTTCCATAGTAGTAGCAAAAAAATACAAAATTTCTAATAAAATATTGAAAAAACATCATACAAGAGAGTTGCACAAAAAAGGTACAATTTTGCATCAGGCGCTGCTAATCACCCTGTATATGTACAAACGATAAAAATAATTTAAAAGGAAGAAATATTTAAACTAAAAACAACATTATTTACCTTCTCTGGCTTGACTTTATACTCCGGTATTTTTTCCATTATTTTTCTATATTCTTCTTCTGTACTGATTCTAGATAAAATATAATATATTTTTTATATTCTTCTTCTGTACTGATTCTAGATAAAATATAATATATTCTATATTCTTCTTCTGTACTGATTCTAGATAAAATATAATATATTTTTATATATTCTTCTTCTGTACTGATTCTAGATAAAATATAATATATTTTCTATATTCTTCTTCTGTACTGATTCTAGATAAAATATAATATATTTTTCTATATTCTTCTTCTGTACTGATTCTAGATAAAATATAATATATTTTCTATATTCTTCTTCTGTACTGATTCTAGATAAAATATAATATATTTTTCTATATTCTTCTTCTGTACTGATTCTAGATAAAATATAATATATTTCTATTTTCTTCTTCTGTACTGATTCTAGATAAAATATAATATTTTCTATCTTCTTCTTCTGTACTGATTCTAGATAAATGATATTTTTCTATATTCTTCTTCTGTACTGATTCTAGATAAAATATAATATTTTTCTGTATTCTTCTTCTGTACTGATTCTAGATAAAATATAATATTTTCTATATTCTTCTTTTGTACTGATTCTAGATAAAATATAATATTTTCTATATTCTTCTTCTGTACTGATCCTAGATAAAATATAATATATTTCTATTTTCTTCTTCTGTACTGATTCTAGATAAAATATAATATTTTTCTATATTCTTCTTCTGTACTGATTCTAGATAAAATATAATATTTTCTATATTCTTCTTTTGTACTGATTCTAGATAAATAATAATAACTATTTATTACAACTTAATCAAGAGATTATGGGAGGATAATTAAATTGATGGAAAAACCACTTATCCGAGGGCCTCCAACACCTTTTTTGGGTTCTAAACCTCACGATCGTATAAGTCATGACAACTCCCGGTTAAGTAGTAATTTATCTTCTAATCTCCGACCGTCATTTATCATTAAACCCATTTTTCTAAAAAATTTCCAGAATCATATTTTTCCAGCTTTTAAACTCAAAAGTTTCAAAATTGCTTAATTTAAAAATATGAAAAAAAATATTGATGAGGACAATGATGACAATTATACTTAAAATAATAACGATAATAATAATAATAATAAAAAACAAAAAAATTGGAAAACCATTATTGATTAATTCATGTTTTTATCTAAAGAGGAATTATAAAAACTGTGATTTAATCAAAAAGCAAATTTTCTTTGAGACTTGAAAACAGAATTAAAAAATAAACAGTGGTTTACCCCTTGTTTACTAACCGCGAACACTCCCTTTAAACTTACTTTACTCCCTGTAGATCTAGAATCTGTGGCGGAGCTTTAGCTTTGTTTAGAATATCTTCTAATTGATATTTAGGTACTTCAGTCTCAGCCATTCTACTCTAACAAATATAGAATATACATACAGGCTTTCCCACAAAGAATGAAACTACAAAGACGACCTGAAACTCTTTAAAAAAGACGATTCCAAGGTTAAATGAAGTTTTCTACCTTTTAATGGTCTATCAAATAATTTGAACAAGAAGGAAACCAATTTACAGTTGCAGAGATTCATAAATATAAAAGTACAGACAGAATAGATTATGTACTGTCGTCTCTGCAGTCTCATCCTTTGTGGGTAACCCTGTAGATATATCGAGCAAAAACGTAAACAAACTATTTTTCTCAATTATTCTCATAAATCTAATTGGGGATAGGATAGGATAGGATAGGATAGGATAGGATACACCTTTTTATAGCTTTTCCCTCTCATATTTAATATCTTTTATATAAATTTTTTTAAACAATAAAGTTTACAAAAAACTACATTTTTTTTAAAATGTTGTAAAAGGTTATAAAGAAGGAAGGATTCACAACGGTACCCTTTAAACCTTTTACTGATCTGATCATCGAGGACAGAGAACTTCGTAGGTATATCTCTTAAATGTTGTGTAGAAAGTCGTAAACCTGGAGTGTACGCTAGTGTACTGTATGAACTGGAAAGTCCAGAATATCTATGTATAACTCGGTTTTAATGAATTGAAATGTAATTATCTAAATTCTGCAGCTTCTAAACAATCAAAGTTGCAAACGGAGTGTTCAACAATTACAAGGTTTTCAAAAGTTAAATAAAGAAATGTTCTTCAACCTTGATCAGTCAAATGTTTAATGTATTGTTCTGAATCCTCTGTAAATGGAAAGTCACTCGAAATTACGCTTTCTGTCCCTTTAACTATCATAACTGGAGTCCAATGAATTGCTGAACAATATCTTTAATAAGTGTAATTAAGATCATGAAATGGAAAGTTTTAAATAGTTTTATCCAATCAATCAATCGTGAAAATATTTCAAAGTTTGCAAAGTTTTCCTAGTTAATTATAAGGTTAGCAGGGGAAAAGTTACACACTATAGTTTAGTATAAGCCAAATTTATAAATAGATTAAATCTACTTCCAAAGAATTTTTGAAAAAATTGATAACAAACTTAATAACTTATTTACTAGCAAAGTAACAAGTGTTTTCTTTTACACTTTATCTATTACTTTATAAATAAAGCTTGTATACGACAAAATATACTCCCAGTCCAAATCTTGTGTAATGACTTGTTGAACTATTGATATAAATATTATTTTGTGAATGCCTAGGGATTGAGGTCGAGTAACTGAGTTCTTCATTGTTAGCAAGGGGGGATACTGAGGTATACCGCAGTAAACCAGCCTACCAGGGGGATACTGAGGTATACCGCAGTAAACCAGCCTACCAGGGGGATACTGAGGTATACCGCAGGAAACCAGCCTACCAGGGGGATACTGAGGTATACCGCAGTAAACCAGCCTACCAGGGGGATACTGAGGTATACCGCAGTAAACCAGCCTACCATGGGGATACTGAGGTATACCGAAGTAAACCAGCCTACCAGAGGGGATACTGAGATATACCGCAGTAAACCAGCCTACCAGGGGGATACTGAGGTATACCGCAGTAAACCAGCCTACCATGGGGATACTGAAGTATACTGCAGTAAACCAGCCTACCAGGGGGATACTGAGGTATACCGCAGTAAACCAGCCTACCAGGGGGATATTGAGGTATACCGCATATTTTTTAAATTTGCTTTTTAATTTCAGCTTTTCTCATGGTCAGATTCAGAATTAGAGATTGCAAAACGTCTTATATTTTTAAGATTTTTGGAAAAATTTACCTTTTCAGAATAAAAATCTTTGCCTTTCCTTCAAGATATATTCAGTTTAAAGAGTGAACTTGTTCATCATGACAGCAAGTTTGGATTTGGACACTTTAAAAACATAAGATGAGAATTTCGAGGTGGCTCGGACGAGAAAATGAGGAGAATGTGGCTTGGACGTGAGATTGTTGTGGTTGGCCTACCTTCCCTCAATATATATACAATGATCATATTTTATGGACAATTTCAAATTTAATAAATCCTAAAAAACTGATATTTTTCCTGAATTAAGTAATTTTACTTGTTTTTTGGTCCATTATTTGAATTTAACCGATCCATTTTTTTATTGATGATTCGTTAATTTTTCAGTTTTTTTGTTAATTAACAAAAAAAGACTATGCTGAATTATATATTTTGCTTGAAAGCCCGGCTACTGCATTCAGCTGGAGTTTACCAATATCCTAGAAATGTATTATGAAGGGAATACTTAGCATAAACAGATTTTACACTCAAATAATGTAAAAGTGAACTGTGGAATATTGGATTTACTGGATTTTGGAATATTGGAAAACTGAAATGTATTTTTTTAAAAAAGTTTAGGTTCCTTTATAATATTTTAGGTTTTTACTTTTTGCTTTGTTGTTTGTTAATATGTTGGTGAAATCATTGTAAATATTTTTATTCATTTATTATATTAATGTTAAAAAATAGATTTGTATCATTTAGTTGCTTTCTTTCAGTGTCAGATTTTCAAAAAGTGAACCATTTAAATTTCGCATTTTTATAATTTGCTGTTTTGATTGAATAATCAATTTATTATTTATCTATATACATATACAATAAATATTTCAGTTTTTAACTTAACATTTTATTCATATAAGAATTCAACAAATTGTGATATATTTATTATAGGTGAAGTGCGCGGCAAAATTTTTCCCAGGCCCTCCAAAAAATTCAGCTCATTCGGTCCAGCCGTTTGGCAAGTTTATAGATATGAAAATATTTTTATTTAAGTCAGCTGAATCTTCTAAAGATTTCTGGAAGGCATGAAACATGATGTAGATGTACTGTAGTGAGATCCTGAAATATAATAAAATGGTTTAGTTTTAAGCCAATATTTGCAATATATACATAAAGATTACAGATATAATTTACAAACATGTTTTTTTCTATTCTCTATATTTGACATGTATTGGATTCTTATATAAAGAATTGAGTCTTTGCCACAAACCAGTTTAAATCCCTAATCTTTATAACCTTAACTTAGATTATTTGATTGAAGAGTCACATTTAACTAAGCTTTCGGTCCATTCTGCAGTACTCTGTGGTACACTGCCCGAAGAAATGGTGGATTTTAGTGGCGAGTGGAATCCATAGTTTAACATATCTAAGGTCTACGATATCTAAGTGTTATTGTGAACAAAGAGGATAAAACAATATTCCTAGAATTAATAAATAAATTTGATAAACAAACAATTCTGTTAAAAATATGTTTCTTTGGAAAAGCAAAGATAAGATGAGGCGAGTATATAAGATGAGGGGAAATCAGTAAACTTTAATTGAGATTTAGTCCTCAGCTAAATGATGCTAAAGCTTGTATTACTTGTCTCTACATTAGCTGGTCTATCAACAGCAACACAGGAGGCATCATGTGATGAATGCAAAGTAGCCTCTGTTGCATTGATGGACCGTCTTCTGACAGCAGATGCTATTACTCAACAAATATCTGTTCTAGTGACCTCCTTGTGTCCACTAGCAGAAGATCCAGCTACTTGTGAAGCAGGACTAAATGGAAACTGGGAATCAATGGCTAATATTCTCTACCCCGTCTTCCTTGAACCTGAGGAAGCATGTGAGAGAGCTGATCTCTGTAAACCAGCATTAACAACACCAGCTTATGCTAGAGAGTGGACATGTGAAGAATGTACAGGAGCTGTTTATATATTAGCTGCATTTATGGAGGAGAAAACTACTATTGAGGATGCTATTGTTCTTCTACAAGGAGAACAGTTCTGTGGGAATGGAGAACATACTGAGGATTGCGGTGAACTAGTTGCAAAACTTATGCCAGAGGCTCTTCCAGTTCTAGCTGTGCTATTTGCTGAATCAGCAGCACCACTCTGCCTTGAAATTCTGGGAGTCTGCTAGAAAACATTCATGTTCAAGTTCAACCGATTGAAGGGACTGCATAAGTGTAATTTAGGATAACCCTCCATAGTCCATGCAAAGAATGTAGATTCAAGACGGTACCCTTTGATGCTTTTCATGTCAAATATTAATTAGATATCAATTTTTTTTGTTTCTTAAAACTATCTATTTTTATTTGCTTACGCATTTCTTGCTTATGAGAAGCAATGGAGAAATTATCAAAATAAATACTTTTCAAGGGTACTGTTGTACCTTTGCATGGAAGATCACTTTAAATTACCCTTATACAGTCTCCTTGAATATTTTGCTATATAAATAAAGCTTTTCAATTACTTGATCAATTACTTTGTCCGCAACACTGCATACTCAGCTTAACTACCTTACATAGCCGGTCTGTCATTTAAGAAAGTAGTTTATAAATACTTTGAGTTACAATTTTATTATGTTTGCTATCTTAGATGCTGAGTTTGAGTATAATTCTGCCAACAAGTTGTCGTTTTGCTAAGATCAATGAAATATGTTTCAAAAGTTGGCAGACAGCTCAATGTTAAAGTTTACTTCATAATTTGATTTTATAAAACTAGAACCCCAGCTTTGTCTGGAATAAAGTTTCCTTAAAGGGACCGTTCACTTATTTGGGTAATTTCAGGGTAAACCAAACAGCCTATTTGCTGTTGATTGGTATTAGTCTTACTTTTCAAATACAACTGTGGCCCAAATTCTGAACGAAAAATCGGCTTTTTTCTCCGGCCACAGTTGTCTTTGAAAAGTAAGACTATTACCGATCAAGCGTGAATAGGCTGTTTAGTTTACCCTGAAATTACCCAAATAAGTGAACGGTCCCTTTAATGAAAGTCAACCCGATCAACTTTGATTTTTTAACCAAGGTAAGACAACTTTTGTTATGTTACAGAGTTCCCCAATATAAATTTTTGGCAAATTGATCAAAGATATAATGAGTTGTGATTGGACATCCATACAAATAAACAAACAAACAGCGATAACTATATGTTAATATACTTCTTCTTAGTGATAATCTAACCTTTTGTTGTTGTTTTCAACTGTAAA